TGGCGGGTGATCGTGCTTTATCTGCTTGGCGTTTTTGGATGTCCTGAGCTGTCGCTATTGCGTCTTGTGCTTGCGCCAACGCAGAGGCTTGAGTGGAAATGAAGGTAGAGATAGCCGGTACATCTGTTGTTGGTGGTTTCAAGAGGGATGATGGGACAATGGGATGATGACCGTGGTTTAGGAAAAAGGGGGAAAACCCTGTGGAGGGGTTGACGGAGTTGTTGTATGCAAATTCCATCATTGGTAAGAGCAAGTCCCAGTCATTCTGTTTGTACGAGACATAAGATCGTAGCATTTCCTCCAGGGTCCTGTTGGCTCGCTCCGTCTGTCCGTCTGTCTGAGGATGGAATGCTGTAGACATATGGAGTTTAGTTCCCATGAGCTTCATCAATGTGGTCCAGAAGTGTCCCGTGAATCTTGAGTCTCTGTCCGATACAATAGCTCGTGGCATGCCATGGAGTCGGAAGACATTATTGAAGAAGAGTCGCGCGATATCTGAAGCAGTGTCCGTTGTATGGCTAGGGCAGAAGTGGACTTGTTTGGATAACTTGTCTACGAATACAGTTATGGCATTGAACCCTCGGTTCGTCTTGGGTAAAGGGCCAATGAAGTCCATGGTGACAGTTTCCCATCGTTCAAGAGGTATATCGAGAGGTTTGAATAATCCGGCAGGATGATGAAGCAGTGGTTTATTTCGCTGGCACTGTTCGCATGATGCAATGTAAGTCTTGGTGTCTCGGGCCATTCGTGGCCAAAAGAAAGTCCTTCGCATGGTTTCATATGTTTTCTCGAAGCCGAGGTGGCCAGCAATGGGAGAATCATGTGCATCATGAAGTAGGAGAGCGCGAATGTTAGGATCATTCGGGATACATAAACGTGTCTGTCCAGCGATGTTAATCCACAATAGGTCATCAGCAACAAAATAACGATCAGAGGGACTTGCCTCGCGGCAGCTTTCGTAAAGTGATCCTAACTTAAGGTCATATGGGTAACACTTTATCAGGCGCTGCCGTAAGCCTGGGTCCAAACTTATTTCTATGGAGTTAATCTGCTCACTGGCGGGATCCTGCGCCTTGTGGTCAGGCCTCCTTGAGAGAGCGTCGGGGACGATGTTGTCTTTGCCTGGTTTGTACTTGAAGTTGAAGTCGTATTCTTGTAGGAGTTCCATCCATCTGGCCTGTCTCCGAGTCAGGTTTGGCTGGGTTGGAAAATGCTGCAATGTGGCATGGTCAGTATAGACAATAAAATGAGATCCATCCAAATAGTACCGCCATGTTCTTAAGGCGTGGACGACAGCTAGTAATTCTTGCTCATGGGTTGGGTAGTTTCGTTCTGCAGAGCTCAACTTTCGTGATGTAAAGGCAACAGGGCGCGATTCGCCCTTGTGATCTGTTTGGAACAAGACTGCACCAATGGCGAAACCTGATGCATCAGTTTCGACGGAAGTTGCTAGGGCAGGGTCAAAAATTCTGAGTACGGGTGCCATGGTGACTGCCTGCTTCAGTCTTTCAAAGGCCTCTTGGTGAGGCTTGCTCCAGTAGAATGTTGTAGTTGAGCCTAACAGATCAGTAAGGGGAAGCGCGATATCAGCATAGTGGTCGATGTATTGATGATAGAAGTTTGTTAATCCAAGGAACTGCATGACGTGGCGCTGTGTTGTGGGTGTTGGCCATTCTCTAACTGCTTTAACCAGTGCTCCGTTTGTTTTGAGTCCATCTTTGGATATAACATGGCCTAGGAACTCTGTCTCCTCTTGCATAAATGAACACTTGGAAAGCTTGCAAAAGAGGCCTGCCTTGCGTAGGAGCCTAAGAACGTTTCTGATGTCTTGTAGATGTTGCTCTTTGTTATCAGAATAAATCAGTATATCATCTAGGTAAACTACGGTGCATTTATCCAGCACAGGATCCAACACGTTGCGCATCATGGCTGAAAAGGCGGCAGGTGCGTTGGTGAGTCCGAAAGGGACGACGTTAAACTCATAGTGACCGTAGCGTGTTCGAAATGCCGTTTTATGTCGGTCGTCTGGATGAACGCGCATTTGATGATATCCGGATAGTAAGTCGAGCTTTGTAAAAAATCGTGCTGTCCTGAAACGATCTATTAGCTCGTCGATTCTTGGTAGTGGATGGCGATTCTTACGGGTTATTTTGTTTAATCCTCTGTAGTCTACGCACATCCTCAGTCCGCCATCCTTCTTTTTAACGAATAAAACTGGTGCTCCGTAGGGTGATGTACTTGGAGAGATGAAGCCTTTGCGCAGTAGTTCTGTGAGTTGTGTTTTTAGTTCGTCTAATTCAGCAATTGATAAGCGAATGACTGGTCTTACAGGTGGATCGGTATTATTTTCAGTCTCGATTCGCATGCTATCGCCACGATCCTGAGGGAGTCCGTCCGGTAGTGTGTCAGGAAAGAGGTCTGGAAATTCTACTTGGACAATTTGTTGAATCGATTCGGGTAGTGTTGAGTCTAGGTTTGTTGGTGGTGAAGTGGTTCTTACTTGGGCCAAGAATGTTGTCGTTTCGGGTTCTAATGCTAATGCAGCAAAGTTTATGGCAGAAAGGCAATTTTGACGAGCGGAGGAGGAGGTATGCCCTCGACATTCCCATAGTATGTGTTTACCATTGTGTTCAAAGTGTAAATCGTTAGTGCGCCAGTTGATTTGGGGATTGACTGCGGTTAGCCAAGGTTTCCCTAGGATGAGATCATATTTTTTCGAGGGGTAGATGATACTTTGAATCTTTTCACCATAGGAACCACGTTCAAGGGTAACAGATGCGGTTCCTGGGGACATGACTGCTGTGCCATTCGGATGAATGATAGGGATAGGGTTCGCGTTGTCTATGATAATGTTATGTTTTCTGCAAAATTTTGAACTCAATACATTTCCTTCTGCTCCACCATCAATGAGGATTCGCGCAGGGTGTCCGTTGACGGCCCCAATGAAGGTTAGTAGTCGTCTCGCATTGGTGTAGACAGCGGACAGGGATTGGAGGTGTGTGGCATGACGACGACGACGACGGGGTGGTTTACTAGCAAGGTGTTCGTGGGAAGTAGAGGGGGTAGGTGAATTTTCATTTGTGTCTTGGTTTGAAGATGATTTGATTTCAGTGACAGATGACGCGGGATGGGAATCGGGGGAGAGGTGATTTAGGGAATCCGGAGGAATGGAAGTGGTGTGGTGCAAGGTGCTTTTAGAGGGTAGAGATAAGAGAGAGGATAGAGAAAATATGGGAGAGGAGCGAGAAGGCATAATCATGGATTTAGGAGAACTAGAGTTTTTATTACTGTTGTTACTACTTAAATCCATATGACTACGCCCTCTAGAGCCCAGGACTCGAGGGTTGGTGGTGAGAGCGAGGCTGGCCTGGTCTACAGCTCGCTCTCCTCTTTTCCCGAGTCGTCGTAGTCGTCTTGTTGTTCCAGGTTGTTCAAGTTCCTAGTCACGCGGCAGTTCTTGGCCATGTGTCCCTTCTTTCTGCAGCGAAAGCAAGCGCCTGCGCGGCGCAGTTTTGTTCTGTCATTTTCGGTGAGCTTGGAGAGTGGTCTGTTGTTAGTCGAGGGGGGGCGATGGAAGTTCGCTAAGCCTGTGGAGTTTGTACTCTGTAGTAGGAAGTTATTGAACATCATCTGCATTGCGTCTAGGTCCATCGGGGTCGGTGTGGGTTGGCTTGTTTGGTTTGTCATGATGGGGGGTCTAGAGGAATGTAAAATGCTGTGGATCATCGTAGCCTGCTTGATGGCCTGGTTGAGAGTCTGAGGCTGGCGAAGGAGGACTTCCTTGCTTGTGTCTTCTACAAGGCCGTAGGTATAATGGAGGACAAGCCATGATTCCTCCAGTTTGGGTGTGAGGCGTTGGAGGCGGCGGAATTTGGCAGTGTATTCCGCTACTGAGGATTTACCTTGTTTTAATTGAACCAGTGCTTTCTGGGCTGAAGAAGCCGTGTCAGGGGGTGTGAAGTTTTCGATGAATTTACTTCGGAAAGTGTCCCATGGTGTATCAATTGTCATTTCCGAGTCTCGCCACCATGCCTTGGCGTCTCCTTTCAGGTTGACAACGGTATATCGGACCCAACGGGAGTGGTTAAGCTCCATGATCTCGAAGTACTCTTCTTGGTTCTCCAAGAAGTTGAGGACCGCGACAGCGTCGACATTTCCCTCGTATGGTTCTGGTTTGGTAGGTTTTATCACAGCAGCCACCGTGCGGACATGGTCATTAAAGGCGGCAGCGCTAGAAGCACTATCCTGTCGGGATTCGAGGAAGGTTTGCACAGCGTTCTGCACGGATAGGCTGGTACTGGCATCAAGGTTAAGAGCTTTCAAGGAAGTGGTGAGGTTGTCCATGGCAAAAAAAAAAAAAAAAAAAAAATCAAATGCAGGGGTAAATTTTTAAATTTTATCTAGGAAAATATCAGAGGGATCTAGGGAAAAATATCAGAGGGAAATATAAGCGGTTTCTGGCGGGGTCGGTGGTTCGATGAACCTTTGCTACCATGTAAATAGTAACAATCAAAGGTGATCTTAGGTGGAATCGAAGGTCAAAGGATACTTTATTTGGCTATAACGTAGTGGACTATTTATACTGATAATTGATAGGGTTGGGGCTTGGTGTCTTGGCACTTGGGCTTGGCGTCTTGGCGCCTGGGGTGCGCGTGATAGTTGAGCCCTCCTCAAAGGTTTGAGTCAGTATTGTATAACACGTTTGCATTCTCAGCCACGTCAATGGAATCGAAGTGCTCGAAATCTTTAGGCCCCCAACCGTCAGCATCTGCATTTAAAGGGGCCGATACATCTTGGATATCGTCCCAGGAATCACTGTCGCTGCCGCTGCTATGTGTTGACGAGCCGTTGTCATCGCTTTCATATTGGCTCCAAAAGTCATCATTGACCACCGAACAATCAGCGGTGCCGATACGTGACATAGAGCTTGCGGAAAGCTATTCACGGAATGTTTGGAAGGCGGTGAAGCGTCAGAAAGACTTTTTTATTTTTTATACATCTTAATAAATATTACATGACCTCTTTTTTTTTTTTTTTTTTTTTTTTTTTTTTTTTTTTAAAAAAATCGCCCTTTTATAGTCCGAATTGTACCAACCTACCCTTGAGAAATGGCGAGCTGTAGCATCGTCATCAAGAAGAGGATCCAATTGAAAATCAACATCTATATCAGATACAGATGTGCTCCCCTCGGGTGTGCCAAGTTCCAAAGGGTTGATGAGGACTGGAGTCTGTGTTCGGGCAAGGCGGGGAGAAGACGTCTGAGGGACTTTGGTCGAACCGGGCACGGGTCTACTCTCCTTTGTGGATACTGGAGGAAGTGGAGGGGAAACTGCCTCAATGGCGCCAGGTTGAAGCTACATATCAAAAATTAATATCGTATTAGCATAAAGGTGGTAGAAGTGCAGCGTGGTCATGTCCTCCTGACTCATAAAATGATGCAACACACCGTTGTTTGGCCTGTCACTAGCCTCAGGAGTCGCGTACGATGATAGCATGATCTTTCGTGTGACCATCGCTCAACCTTTGGGTTGAGGATTCGCTCGATCGTGTTGAGAGCAATAATCCCACAGGAACCACTTCCTAACGGCTGGCGAGGTACGTTAAGGTTATATTGCACCCTTTTCCCCCACTTCTCCGCCTGGAAATTGATGCCATTTCTCGTCATCCAGCGTTGTATCCCATTGAGTATTTCTACAGGGATAAACTTCTTCAGAGAGTCCCCAAATGATATGGATTTCTGAACAAAGTCCACCACGAGGACTCCCCAATGCTCCGACATTTGGACTACAGCAAACGCTTTGGAAGGCCTGTTTTTCAGCTCTTCACCTAACCATGTATAGCATTCCTCCTCCGAGTTGTCGGCGTCGCGCCATATCGGGAGATACAAAGGCGGAATAAACATGTATGGGCCACCTTTTACATCTTTATAGACAACCCGAAAAATCTCCAGAACGGAGCGAATCAGATCGTCATCTATATAACACTCATTTGCTAGGAATAGGGTGCTGCGGACGCTCAGGTGTATGTCGGGTAAAGGGCGGAAGCAGTAGGCCATAATCCCCCTAGTCGAGACTATAATAGAATGAACCCAGGCGCATGTTCTTGAGTCGTACTGTTTCGCTTGCGTGAGCCACTTAAGCATGACCATGAGATCGCGAGTAAACGACCTCACCTCCGCCTCAAGCTTCGACGTGCAATCCCATTCATCGGCTGATTCGTCCCCCGCCAGAATGTTGGGGAAGCTTCGGAACAGATCAACAACATACTGCTCCTCTTGCCACGCGCTGTCGAATCGGGAGGATCTCTCTTGAACTTGGCAAAGATCAATGGGATTATGGCAAAAACCGGTGATACTGTTCATTTCGGTGTCTACGAAAGGCTGGGAAAATGTATGAGGTATGTGTAAATGTAGTGAGCAGAGACTAAAGATGTGAAATGTTGTGATGATCCAGAGGAGCATGGTGCCCATGCTTTTATACGATGCGGAACCGGAATATGCTCTACATCGCTCAGTCTCTCTGTGGCATATATAAACGGTTCTATAGTCCTATTCCTATTCTATACCTGATTGAAATATACTAGGATCATACTATATAACGAATGTAAAACGAGAACGAGAGAAAGGTGTCTTTATTATCGATTGAATAAAAAGGATAAAAATCTTAGCTAAAGTAAAAACCCATATAAATGACTGTTAATCGCAACATAACTTCCCTCCAGACGAGCGTCCAGGTAAGAGCGGGTACTAATAAAACTTGTAATGAAAATATATAAAAACTTTAAAGTATGAAGATCCATTGTTTGATCAAATAAAATTTAAGTCTTTGAAGGGAAAATTAATAAATACAACCTTCAGCATCTGGTAAAAATAATAAAATATATAAATGGCTGCTGATCGTAACGCCGATAATAGAGAATAGGTATGCACCTGTGGTGAATGCTGATGGTTATTGGCTGCCATGAATGTGTAATTGGATGCTGGTACTCTTTGATGCAAACATTTTTTACTGATGGCGCTTGTACTCTTTGATGTAAAAATTTTTTACACCTGGTGTGCTGGCGGCGCTTGTACTCTTTGCTGTAAACATTTTTTACTGTGGCGCTTGTACTCCTTGATGCAAACATTTTTTACGAGGCCAATGAATTGGGTGTGTAGTTACAAACACACCTAACAATCACATAGAGAACACACCCAATTTCAGCTTGTAGTTAATCAATTTGATAGAGGGTTTTCTCTTTTTTTTGCAACCCTGGGTCTGATAGGATATATTAAGACGTTAGCTCGATAGGTTGCCTTCTATTACTAGCATCGTAAATAAAGCGGTATCTAATAATCGGCATACTACTACAGTACAACACCTGTTCATTTTTTTTTTTTTTTTTTTTTTTTTTTTTTTGATAACAGACCATCAGAATAATGGGGTTTATTTTATACATTCTATGTTTTTTTTTTTTTTTTTTTTTGAAAACAAGGACCCTCAGGGTCGTGACGAGAAGTCTTCTGCTTTTTTTTTTTTTTTTTTTTTCAAGAACCCACAGAGGCGAGGAATTTTATTTCATAATCTCGCTCTAAAGTAATGATATCGCCCTCAACTATGAAACAAGCGAAACTCTCAAAGTTCGCACGGTATGGCCGTGAAGAGCCAATTCGTATCCATGTTTTTCTCTACCAATGTACACCGTGATCGGTACTGTGGCCAGAAGCCTTCTGCTGTGATAAATCCATAAACTGCTCCAGGTATACCCCTGGTTCTGCCTGCCATGACATCACTTTAGGATATGCTATAAAAATGTAGACTAATTCGAGAAAGTAAAAAATTTAGCATTAGGTGGCACATCTGCAAAACGCAAATTTATTTTTGCGCAAAGCGTTCGATCGAATCCTTTGGACGACAAATTTTATGCTTTTTGCTACTACTATACTTAAAACTACATAGGCGAAGTTTTTTTTTTTTTTTTTTTTTTTTTTTTTTGACATACTATTCATATCATCCATACCTTGGAGGCAAAGCTGTCTTTCTGGGTCATACTAGGAATAGTTCTGCATGTAAATGTTGATGTGCATTATTAATAACAGGTTTTTACTTAGACATCCGTACCTTAAGAACCGTCATACTCTTGGCCTTTT